CAAGGACAAAAAGATAAAGACAACAGGAGCCTTAGTCACCATTTATTGTTTGCTATATGTGGCAAAGTAGTTAAGAGCTTGGCTGCTAACCAAAATGTCAGCAGTTCGAATCCATCAGCCATTTCTTGGAAACCCTATGGGGCAGTTCTACTCTGCCCTATAGGGTCACTATGAGTCGGAATCGACTGGATGGCAATGACTTTGGGATTTTTTGGTATATGTGAGGCAGGAGCCCTGGTGGCACAGTGGTTAAGTGCTTGACTGCTAACCAAAAGGTTGGCAGTTCGAACCCACCAGCCACTCTGGGAGAAAGATGTGACAGTCTGCTTCCATAAAGATTACAGCTTTGCATAACACAGTTTATAAAGAAAATGTTCTACATCCTACTTTGGTGAGTAGCATCTGGGGTCTTAAAAGCTTGTGAGCGGCCATCTAAGATACTCCACTGGTCTCATCCCATCTGGAGCAAAGGAGAATGAAGAAAGCCAAACACACAAGGGAAAGATTAGTTCAAAGGACTAATGGATTACAACTACCACAGCCTCCACCAGACTGAGTCCAGCACAACTAGATGATGCTCAGCTACCACCAACAACTGCTCTGACAGGGATCACAACAGAGGGTCCTGGACAGAGCTGGAGAAAAATGTAGAACAAAGTTATAACTCACCAAAAAAAAAAAAACAGACTTACTGGTCTGACAGAGACTAGAGAAACTCCAAGAGTAGGGCCCCAAGATATCCTTTTAACTCAGTACTGAAGTCACTCCCTAAAGTTCACCCTTCAGCCAAAGATTAGACAGCCCCATAAAATAAAGGAGACTAAATGGGCACACCAGACCAGGGGTAAGGACGAGAAGACAGGAGGGGACAGGAAAGCTGGTTATGGGGAACCCAAGGACAAGAAGGGGAGTGTTGACATGTCGTGAGGTTGCAACCAATGTCACAAAACAATATGTGTATTAATTGTTTGAGAAACTAATTTACTCTGTAAACCTTCATCTAAAGTACAATTAAAAAATGGAAAAAAAAAAAAAAAGATTACAGCATTGGAAACCCTATGGGGCAGTTCGACTCTGTCCCATAGAGTCGCTATGAGTCGGAATCAACTCAATGGCAATGGGTTTGTTTTTGCGGGTGATTTTTTTTTTTTTTTTAGGTATATGTGGGGCAGTGTGATAAACATTTTACATCTATTATCTGTCTTAATTCACATGCAAGCTTTAAGAGAAAAGTATAGCCTCGTGGATGTGGATAGGAGCATAACCTAGAGTCAGGGACCCTGGGTTCAAATTCTGACTCTGCTACTTAGAAGCTGTAAAACTGGGGGCAAGTTGCTTAACCTTGTGCTTTAGTATCTAAGTCTGTAAAGTGGGGATAATGAATAACACAGGTAGAAAGCTTAGAACTGCGCATGGTAAGTAGTGAATGTTTAAAATAATTTCAATTCCCATTACTATTATTTTCCCCATTTAAGATAAGGAAATTGAGGTTTAAATGGTAAGTAATTTGACCCAAGTCATAAAACTAATCCAGAGTTTCTGACTTTAGAGGCCAAGGGACTTGTCCTGAGTGAGTCACCAGTAGTCAGTAGTAGAACAAGGAGCATCAACACGGGACCGAGTCCTAAATTACATGCTCTCTCTACACACCATACACCAAAAATACAAAAAGTATGGGCTGCTTAGCTGAATTTCTATAGACTCTAAATGTATCTTACACATTGCTTAAGGAAGAAGCAGGGGCAGATTAGCCAATAGTCAAAGCAAGCACAGGGTTTACCTTGCTTGCCAGATCATCTGTAGTGAACAATTTCATGTGAAATTGTTCACTGAAGATTAGTAAATAAGCACAAGTAAGCCCATGCTTATCTTGCTTACTGGATCATCCACCCCTGTCGGGAATTGTAAGTTTGAAAAGAGGCTTTTATTCTGTAGGAAGGTGCTGTGGGGTTGGGAGAGAGACAAATGCCAGCCATACCTAGAAAGGAAATCTTTGATGCGATGGAAACATGTGAAATTGCTCACTATAGATAATCTTGTAAACAAGGTAAGCATAGTACTTACCTTGCCTATTGGACAATCCGCCCCTGGGAAGAACCACCAGGTAACAGTTGCTGTCGAGTTAACTCCAACTTACGGCAAAGCCATGTGTGTTAAGGTAGAACTGTGCTTCATAGGGTTTTCAAGGCTGTGACCTTTTTGAAGCAGATCACCAGGTCTTTCTTCCGAGGTGCCTCTGCATGGGTTCGAACTGCCAACCTTTCTGTTAGTAGTTGAGTACTTAACCATTTGGCAACCCGGGACTCCTATCCAGTAATATACCTTGTATAAAAAGCCCTGACACATAGTCTAATGTCCTTGTATACAATCAAAAGAGCTCTCCATTTTCCTCTGAGTCAAAGAACTGGACTGGACCACTGGTATGGTGGGTGAGGAAAGGGCTAGGTGCAGCAGGAAGAGAGCTGCACCTGGTCCATTTGGGAAGGAGAAAGAAACTCCTCTCTCCACCCTGACTTGTGGGACAGCCCAGGTTGTGCTTCCAATTGGAGTTGCCTGTCTCCAGCAGAGTCCACAAGGACCAGCAGTTGGGTCAAAGGTCCCTTATCCTAGACACAGTTGTGCAGGCCCCCCACAGCTCTGCCTGGGGGAATGTAACACATCGACTGCTATGGCTAAAACCTGCCATCGCTAATACGTTTTCTTGATACTTGCTTCTTTCTTCATAAAAGTAGAAGGAATTATGAGAGGAAAAAATAAAACCTTAAAATAACTGCCTTCCCTGGGGTATTAATTTGCTGTTTACAAACGTGTTATAGTCTACGTGTTGTTTGTTTGCATAATAAAATGTACTCTAACTTCTAGTATAAAACAGTATTCCAGTTTTCAGATTACCACTGTGGTAGATTGCACTATCGTTCCCGTTACTAACTTCCTCCCCTCTGTGAGACGTTTATACTTCTCCATCCCACTGACATCAGGCTTGCTCATGTGACTCTCTTTAGCCAATGAGATGTGGGCACAAGTGATACATGGCACTTCTGATCACAAGCCTTAAGAGTCATAGCATGGTTCCACTATCACTGTTGCAAGCACAGAAATGCTAAAGACAGGGGCTGCTCCTTTAGCTTAGATCCTAGACTAAAGAAGACAGGTAGAGCAGACCAGTAGTCAACCTATGTTGTTGTTAGGTGCCGTCAAGTCGACTTTCAACTCATAGCAACCCCATGTGACAGAGTAGAACTGCCCCATAGGGCTGTAACCTTTACAGAAGCTGATCACCAGGTCTTTTCCTCACAGAGCCGCTGGATGGGTTCAAACCCCCAATCTTTCAGCTAGCAGCCAAGAGCTTAACTGTTGTACCTCCAGGGCTCCTAGCCAACCCACAGCCAATATACAAGGTAAGTGAAAAATAAATTTTTGTTATGGCAAGCCACTGAGATTGGAGAGTTATTTGTTACTGCAGCATAACCTAGTGGATCCTAGCTACTGTATACACTAAAGCTTATTAGAACATCCTGATCTAAAACAGTATGTATTTGCAATGAAAAATAGTGAAAAAATATTTTTGCAATTATCATAATCAATTTATTTTTTCCAAAAAAGGAACTAGGGTTAGAGCCAAGTCATCTTTGTATGGTATGTCAGTATTCAAAATGCAAACTGCCCCTGGGCATTTGTTTTGATGTCCCTGGGCACATTCCCACAGAATGTAGTTGTCATCCTAACTCTCTTTTCCTTCCTCCAGAGAGTGTCTGTAAACTAGAGAATTTATACTTCCTGTTTTCAGCGGAAAAAGAACTTTTGCTAGCCTCATGTCCTGCTCCCTTAAATGCATCCCAGACAAAGCTGATTGCAAAGCAAAAGTCAAATTCAATCCTGTCACACTATACGGCAGCAGAAATGTCTCAAAGATAAAGGGCAGACATGTGGTTTACTTTCGCTATTTCCTCTAAACATGACTTTGGATTTTTTTTTTTTTTAATCTTTTAGTCATGGAAAGCTAATCAAATCAACTATCAGGTCCACATACACACTATTTCAACATGGACAAATAAAAATGAATAGAAAAAAGAGAAATGGTAATATTCAAGAAGATCATTTGAAAACATAGATTTTTAGAAAATGAAATCACATATAAACAAACGTGTCTGGTCAATGAGATTTCTGGAGAGCCAAAAAAAATTAAAAAAAGAATCAGAAGTTATGTATGTGGGCAGTGGTGGTGTTGTTGTCAGGTGCCATTGAGTCAATTCTGACTCATAGCAACCTATAGGACAGGATAGAACTGTCCCATGGGGTTTCCAAGGAGCAGCTGGTGGATTCAAACTGCTGACCTTTTGGTTAGCAACAGAGCTCTTAACCATGGCACCACCAGAGTTCCCCAGTAAGTACTAGTGGTGGTGAAATACCAATGAAGTTTAAAACAGATGGCTCTGGATACAGATTAAAAATATGTATGTGTGTACATATGTATATGTATATACCTACTTGCACACACATATACATACATGCATACACACATGCATTCATATTTGTATATACACATACATATATAATTACTATATATTAAATAAGGTATTAATATTACATATAAACATACACACACAAACATATATCTCCTATGGGACTTACTTATCCAACTATGCTTTGGATTTCTTTTTAAATCAATCTTTAATGATAAAAGGGTACTTTTTTTATTTCTTAGACACAAAGTTTGAATTTGCTTAGTGTTTTCTGACAATTGTGTCTCACCCTGCTCACTACAAAGTGTCTGGATTTAAAATCAACACAGTTGAAATGAATAATTGCCTGGGCAAGAGTCACGTCAGCTTGGCTTAACAGGATGAAGAGAAATGACGGGCCGGCCCTGCTGAGACCCTCGGCCCTGCTCAGCCAGCAGGGACGTCAGTACTCACCAGATATTGTGTAAAAACGGAAACATCCTCTGTGCTGTTGTCAGAATTTATTCTCACCAACCTCCCAAGTCTAGGCGAACTTACAATCGTAAAAGTTAGAGTTCTGTTTCCTGCGCTGTCCACATCATTGGTTACAGCTTTCAGCTCACAGGATGAAATGGGCTTCGTGGAACCTAAGAGAAGATGTGAACGTGCATTAAATACAACGCATAGGAAGACTGCTTGTCATCAAACGAGCTTTACAAGTCCTGAAACTCTTTGGAAAACACGTGGTCATGTACGGGGTGGCGGGGGAAGAGGGGTTGGCTAGATCTAAACTGGAATCGGCCTCTGAAAGGTGATTCCTGAGGCATCTATTTGTGGGGCCTGAGATGAAGGACAATCATAGGAGAAGAGATAGGCTGCACTCCCAGCCCAGGCCCAGTTGTCTAACTGACCCCTAGAGGAAGAAAGCAATATCATCGCGTGTGCACCCAGCTTGGCTCCAAGGGTGTGGAGGAGAAGCAGCTTGTGTAACATTGAGAGCACAGGAGACAGCACCCTCCCCTGGGAGTGTGACAGGGCTCCGGGAGGTTCCACATCACAGAGGCTACAGGGATCAATGGGGTGTCTGTTCACAGATGCCTGGGGGAGAGGTTGGCTCTTGAAGAAATGTGAGGCATCTCCTAAGGACCCCCAGACATGCTGGTACACAGACATTGTAAGCAGTGAAGGCCCTGTGTGAACACCAAAGGGGGAAAGAGCCAGTGACAGACAGGTGTCTGTGCTAATGTGACCTCATGGGTAACCAAAGACCAGAGAGGCTTGGGGACACCCATGTTAGAGCAATACCTCTCAGACACTCTGTAGTGAAGGATAAGTATTTTCCCCCAATCCATTTGGACCAATAATTTTTTTTTCTTTTTTTTTTTTTAATTACACTCCAGGTGAAGGTTTACAGAACAAATAGTTTCTCATGAAACATTAGTACACATATTGTTTTATGACATTGGTTAACAACCACATGACATGTCAACCCTCTCCCTTCTTGACCTTTTTTTTTTTTTTTGGTGAAAATATACATAGCCAAAGATACACACTTTCAAAAATTTCTACATGCACAGTTCAGTGACATCAACTACGCTCTTCCAGTTGCGCTGCTATTCTCATTTTAGATGAAGGTTTACAGAAAAAAAAAGTTTCTCATTAAACAGTTAGCACACATGTTGCCCTATGACAATGGTTAACAACC